TCAAAATGAAGTAGATTTTGGACATTTGATGACATGTAGAGAGGTAAGGAGATACTGGAGTCAAGTAACAAATACATTATCAGAAATACTTAAAAATCTGATACCTTATAGTTCAGAAGTATGCTTAATGGGGATGTTGGAGGATAAGAGATGATTAAGACATGTAAAGATTTTTTCTACAAGAAACACTATTTATGGCGCGAAAACAGATTGCAATGAGATGGATGCAAAATAACCTCCCCTCTGTTAAATGGATTGAAGCAGTTAATCATACTGTATCATATGAAAAAGTCATGTATGAATATAGGAGGACTCCACAGACATTTTATAATATCTGGAGTGAGTGGTGTAAGGTTGAAGTGATTGGTGAAAAGAGATAGGAGGGATGGAAACGGAGATATAATAATAAGATTAGAAATGTAAGGTAGGGGATGGCAGTAATCAGGATGATTGAAATGCGAGGTTGATTAGGTACTTGGAAGGAATATGTAGTAAATGTGTATTAAAGAAATGTATTGTATTTTGTACTATGTATTTTAAATGTACAATAAGCAATAAAGAGTATTTAAAAATAAAAGTAAATCAGCATGATGTATAGGTACGATAAGGATGCAGTAAAGTTGTGGTATAGATGTGGTGGTACAGGTGCAGTATACTGAATGTTCTGTCTCCAGTTTCTGGGTTTCTGCTACTAGTGTAAACAATGGACAGTGTCCTCTCACCAGTCCCTGTGGTGCAGCAGAGAACTCTTAGTGCCCGTTCACATATATGCGGATTGGATGCAGTTTGAACCACATCCAATCCGCATGACATGTGAAAAAAACATTGCTTCCTATGGTGTCTGTTCACATATGTCTGGTGCACAAGCGGTGCGAATTTAGTACGGACTCATATACATTTTCTGAGCAGTGCGGTCCGGTTCAGGTGCGGATTATAGGCTATTGACTTCTATGGAAACTGTTTCTAAACCGCATATCTGTGAACAGAATACAATCCTGAGCTAATCCTGTCCTGAACCTGGCGTAAACCTATGAACAATTACTGTGTCAATTATCTTTGAAACCTGAGCTTCAATCTGCACAGCACACATGTGAATCAGCTATCACTGTAGAAAGGAAGGGCACCTCAGCCTCTCCACAGAATGCTCCCACAGATTCAGCAGTAGAAAGTAGAGGATGAGAGGAGACTGGTCAGTATAGAGCAGATGTGCTCTCATCAGTTCCCTCAGCCCCGAGGAAGAACCTAGCTGGACAGTCTCAGAAAAGCAGCACCCCTGCTCCTCCTTGCCCCAAAGTCTACTGGAAATTGAATAGCAAGGGGTTTATTATTATTTATAGGGTCGATATGTTCTACAGTATGGCTTACTTCCTGGACTTCAAGTCCCATAATCCTCACCATTCTGCATAGGAATCCATAGGCTTTTCTGGTTATAGTTCTCCCCCTGCTGACTGGAGGGGATAGTGCAACAAAACATTTTTCAATGTTTCTGTATCCCAGCACCTAGCTACAATCATAACCACGTTTACCCTTCCTGGTAGGAGGGATTTGTAGCAATCGTGCCCACAGAGAAGGACGCAGTCCTCCATTTTGTTAAGAATTTTCCATGTTGCACCATTTCTCACTACCAAAGCAGGCTGCCTCTTCCAATCATCCCCCTTCCCTCTCTGTTGAGTGACATATGGTCTGAGTGTGTTTGCAGAGGTCACAGGCAGCCAAAGCACAGCAGAAGGGCGTCCTGGCTATAAAACCTCACTAGCTCGGTGCCTAGCTGTCTAAGAAACTGTGCAATCTGGCATATCGTAAAAGTATAAACTAAGCCCTTCACTTAGTTCAAAGACATTCCAGAGAAGTAATAAACTAGATACCACATTCAAAATCCATTTTCCCCCATGATCTCATATCTTGGAATATGAGAGACTTACATAAAATCCAGGCATATCATCAGATTGGTTAAGTTCATACAAACCGTTTGATATATTATATTCCCTAGCTGGAATATATAGGAGGGCAGGAAAGTATATCTTCTGAACCATTCAAGTGTATATAACATATTTCATCTCTAACCATTCCGCAAATGCTGCGGAGTATTAATATACTAGTGCCCATGCTGGCAAATGCCCCGAGAATGAGTTATGAATCGTAATAGCAGCTATGGGAGTTTCTAGTCATAACTTAGGGCTCCACCTACACTTCCCTCCCCAAAAGGAGACAATTGGTTTCACCTCTCCAGGGAGACACCCTGTGGATTTGCTAGAAAAAGGCTGTTATGCTTGGAGTTAGGTGTGTAAGAGAAAGAAGAGTCTCCCTGTAACATCGAAACTGAGTGAGAGACCAGAAATCCTTTTTGAGCTCATAAGACTTGAAACTGCTTAAACCAAGGCTGACTGGCAAGTACTTTAACCCTTTAAACTCCTTTCTGTTATCTCTTTGCTGTGCTATTGTTCTCTGTATATTTATATATATATATATTGGTTTTATCCTTTTTTCTGTAAATATTGTTATCGCACCCTTTTGACCTTTTAGTAATAAAATAAAATCTTACTTTCTGAAAGTGTTGAACTGTTTCTAAAGCTCTTTAATGCAAATTACAAATTTCTGTCGCAAAACAGCGCTACTGTGTGTGTTTAACCCTCTGTATAACCTGTCTGCATCGAAACTGAGTGTATAACCTGTCTACATCGAAACTGAGTGAGAGACCAGAAATCCTTTTTGAGCTCATAAGACTTGAAACTGCTTAAACCAAGGCTGACTGGCAAGTACTTTAACCCTTTAAACTCCTTTCTGTTATCTCTTTGCTGTGCTATTGTTCTCTGTATATTTATATATATATATATTGGTTTTATCCTTTTTTCTGTAAATATTGTTATCGCACCCTTTTGACCTTTTAGTAATAAAATAAAATAAAATCTTACTTTCTGAAAGTGTTGAACTGTTTCTAAAGCTCTTTAATGCAAATTACAAATTTCTGTCGCAAAACAGCGCTACTGTGTGTGTTTAACCCTCTGTATAACCTGTCTGCAGTGACAGTGGTATACAGATGATTATCTAACCATCATAGTGTTATTGCTGATATTGCCGAGTTTCTTCTTTCTCTGTACAAAAAGGAGGTGGTGCAGTGTGAAGGGTTAACTGCGTAATTAACCTGACCCAGTAACAATCGCGCTCAGGCTGCAAGTACACAGGTTGTGGTCCATTAGCTGGAAAATCTGTGTGCAGGGTGCAGCTGGGCGTGGCATTGTTATGCACATGACATCACGGTTTTAGATTGGCTAGTGCTTCGGTCATGAGTTTGGTGAAAAGGGCTAGGGTCTGACGTCGCGATCGTCACAGGATTGATAAATATTAGCTCTTTCTGAAGTGATTTATGTTTGGTTTGATGAAGTGGTGATGGGCCCTACCCTCTCTAGAGCCTTAATCTTGGTCAGTAAACCTCGTCATCACAACAATAGATATTAAAGTGTAACTGTAGCTTGCATTTTTTTTAAACTAACCCATTGCTACAGGAGATGGGGAGAAGTTAGATGAACCACTACTTCAGGAGAAAAAGTTACTTGTATATTAGAATTCTCTAAAATTTAGGACTCCCAAGAGTCCTACAACCTCAGTTCTTTACTAATGCTAAGTGTTCACTGGGTGTAATTCTGATGCTCAAAGAAAATGCATAGAAAGAGTTTGTAGTTTTTGCAAATATTAAATGACACATAAAAAGGATGTAAAAAAATATTTGGAAAAAAGGATGTCAGAAAATATTGGGAATTAGGGCTCCTGTTGTGCAAGCCTTTAAGCATTTACAGGAGTTAAAGGGAACACAGGTTCAGTTATAGTGAAATGTAAATTGTGAATTGTAGCCTAAATATTTTTCTCCGGAAATACTTTCATTAGCAATCCCTACTCAATCTGTCACAGTCAGGAGGTCAGTCTCAGAGACCAGTAGCTTAAGCAGCACACCAACCAACAGGAGAGGTAAACAAGCAGGTCACCCTGGCAGATGATGCAGGCTCACCTGAAGTGCGGAGTCTAACAACTAACCACTTTCACCAGAGCTCCTGATGGTGGAGATGGGTTTTGCTGCATGTTAGTACCAGATCACAGTTCTCAGGATCACCCCACCAGGAAGTGAACAAGCCAGTATCCAGTAACAGATATGGCAGGTAGGGATCTAGCAGAAGCGTAATCAGTAAACAAGCCAAGGGTCGGTAACAAGTGGTAGCAGGTTGGGATGAGGCAGAATCGTAGTCAAGGAACAAGCCAAAGGTCAGTAGAAAAGGTATGGACGGCAGCAGGAGAGATAAGAGTGAGATACTGGCTGGAGAAGGTACAATAATCTGGCAAACAGGAAGTGCAGAGACTTGGCTTAAATCAGGAAGTTTATGAGAGGAGCAAGGAGTTCAAGGTTCAGCAGAAATCAAGGCACAAAGCAGGATTGTTCAAAAGATCAGGCAGAGTGTTGTCCAGCATCCCAGATAGCTCAGTGAGAAGAGTTACTGCCAGACAATGTAAGAGGTCCCAGGTTCAAGTCCAGGCCCTGACACACTCCTCTCAGTCCCAACAATGTGCACTCAAAGTGATGGAATTCTGGATTCATGAAGACCCTAGAGCAGGGGTCTCCAAACTATGGAACTGCAAGTCCCATGAGGCCAAGGTTCATTGGGCCCTAGTCATTTTCACCCCTGAACTACATACAGTAATCTGTATTTAATTGTGATATGTTCCATGCTGTGAAACTGAAGCATGGTTTTCAGTCCTGAGTTTATCACATAAATTCTAGTTATTTACAATTCGGTTTTCCATACATACTGGTAAATTTTAAACACAATGACAATTTAGAATGCATGGCTGTCTGGCATTGCAAGCTTTCACATCTGTTTGTTATACATTACTATTTTTTTTTCTGACTCCAGTAGACAATGTTTTTCAAAACTTTTGCTTCCTGAAAACCTTTGGTGATTACGATAGACCTCTTCAAACTGAACACAGATATAATTTCAAAATTACTGTACCTTTGCCAACTTCTTCTTGCAGTATTCAACCCTTGAACTATTACAAAAATCATTTGTCAAGTATTGTCTCTGGATAAAGTCTTCATCAATCTGCAAAAATATTTTGAACTGATCTGATTTAGTAATACCAGAACAAAATGTGGGAATAAATTTGTCTTTGTAATCCTTTTTTGTATTATATAGTTCATAATTGAAAGTTGGCACCTTTAAATCAGGAAGTTCAAACTCTTCATCCTGCAATGATTCTTCATCATATACTTGTTCTAGATTTTCCATACAAGTCCCATATGAATGAGCTTCAAAAAGAGAACTAGCAAAAGGAGTATTTATGGGAGTAGCAGGGCCAAAATGTTTTATCACTGGAGAAGATGTACTTGCTGATTTGGTATTTGGGCCTGGTAGTACACTTGTTTTAACAGTAAAGTGTGTGAAAGAATCGTTCATCTTTTTGCCATTCTCATCTACTTTACTTGATACTTTATCAGATCTATGTTTGCCATGCTGAAACTTTTGCTGGTTCTGTCCACCTCTCCAGAATGTTTTTGCTTCTAGAACTTGAGGCTTGAAAAGATGGTTATGATTTAGATGTCCACCTGTATAATTCCAGGAGTCCTTTTTGTTTGCCCATTCTATTTCATCCAAAAGTTTGTTAAGAGGCATCATTTTACTTTGCTGGTTTGCTCGTAGCATCATAGATATTTTTATTTTCATCTATTCAGGTAAATATGCCTCATCACATCTAAGAAAAAAGCAAAGAAATAAAAATGTGACAATTTGCAGAATGAAAAAAAAAAACAAATATCAAAGTAATAATTGCATTTACAATCTCAATGACATTATCTCTGATGTCTACTGTTTGGTACATGACTTACAAATAATAAGGCAAAGAGCAATGATTAAAGTGCAATATCCATGTCCAGACAGATATTACTGTCAAAAGGTTGTTATTATGAGTTTCACGATTGCTTTTTGCACCACTTACAAATAAATATTACCTCTAAAGCCTTTGGAGATGGGATTTTAGGTCTTTTACAAGTTAAGGAGTCAGAAGAGGTACAATTCATAAAGAACTGGGGTACTCTGTTATGCAAGCAGTATTGGGCAGATATTGCCAGATATGTGGCATTGATGTGCACTGGTATGTGGCATTGATGGGCACTGGTATGTGGCCTTGATGGGCACTGGTATGTGGCATTGATGGGCACTGATAGTTGGCAATTATGGGCACTTACAGGTGGCACTGATGGGGCTACACTGATAATTAGGGCACTGATGATCAGTATACACATACTCTGATCACACACTGTCAATGTGAAGAGAGGACTGCCGATAAGAGGCATTTCCTGTTCACATGCAATCAGCTGTGATTGGACACAGCTGATCACATGATAGAGCCTACGTCATCGGCTCTTTACTGCGATCAGTGATCCACTGTGTCCCAGGGCCACAGCGCACCACTGATCACCGTGGAGTGCGCATACGCAGCTAGAGTGGGAGAACGTCACATAATTGTGAGAAAATGCTTTTCTCATAATTATCCTGTTAAAAAAAAGTTTCAAAGTTTGGTTTTTAGATTAATCAATGCATCATTATTGATATACTGTCAATTGGTCAGTTGGGGTGGGTATTTTTTAAATCCTTAAAGTGTTACTAAACCCACAATAGTAAAATCAGTATGTACATGCAGTAAAGCATGCTTGTTATACTCACTGTGGAATCTAAGGGGTTAATCCACCACATTGTGAAAAAAGGATGTTTGACCCGGTCTTCTCTGATCTGCCCCTTCTTCCAGTGTCTCCCAAATATCTCCTGATAGAACAGAGGCTCGGGGGGCAAGCTGCACATGCTTAGTTTGGTTACTGCTAGAAAGTTTTTTTTTTTTTCTTGGGAGAGTGCATGTGATCAGCACAGGGCCAATCTGCACTCTGCAGGTCCTGCATCCTCGTACAGGAAAATGAAAACTCTTCCTACAAGCTGTAACCAGTGCTCTGCTGGACACTGATAGAAGTCACAAGACTGCTCTAACTGGTGAGGAGAAAAGGTATTTAGCAGTTTATATTTACTAAAATAATTGCATTTCCATGTTCTGTGTATAGTGGGAGAGCAGCTATAGTGAATGCTGGGTCCTGGGTTTAGTAAAACTTAAATAGCCTTAATTTTCTCACTGCCACAGACCCACAGAATCTTCAGTGTCACTAACAAATTTACTCCAACTGTACCACCAGAAAGTTAAAAAAAAGTGTGTTTTTTTTTTTCATTTTCAGTCTTTTTTTGTTTATATAATAAAAAATAAAAAACCCAGTGGTGATAAAATACCACCAAAAAAAGCTGTATTTGTGTGAAAAAAAATTATATAATTTCATTTGGGTACAGTGTTGTATGACCGAGCAATTGCCAGTTAAATTAGTGCAGTGCTGAGAAGCAAAACATGTCCTGGTAATGAAGGGGGGAAAACCTTCTGGAGGTCAAGTGTTTAAACTTCCAGCCTGTGAAACCCTGAGCAGCTTTAAATGATCACTACTCCCTTGATTACAGAAGCATCCAAAAACAAAATCTACCTAGCATCCACTAGGAGGGTGCTACATCACATTTACAGAAGGCATGGTAGACAAGTTGTAAAATCAAGATCACAGCTGCTATGTAGCTGTTAGCTTGATACTGGCATTAGGAGCTGGCAAAGGGCTTTCTGATAAAAGTGATCAGATGGCCCCGCGGTTGTTCCCAGGCTCTCCTCTTCCACCAGGAAGCCCTTGACCACAGAAAATAGCTTTCACATCCATTCCCATTCCTCTTGTGATTAATGGCTCTGAAAACACCTCTGTGTTCGGTCATTTCTGGGGTCACGGTTGTCATTCCTCGACTACTGTAACCAAAGATGCAGCTATTTAAACACAATCTGAGTTTGAATAGATACATTGGAGAGACTTTGGAGGTTTAATAGACCCCCAAAATCTCCATATAGTGGACATACCACCACCTGCCCATGCTATGAAATAGGGAGCTTGCTAGCTTCCTTGTGATAGCAATAAAATAAAATTTAAAAAAGTACAAATTGAAAAAATCATTACATGAAATAAATTAAAAGCAATTAAAAAACATTTTAAAGCCCCCACCCCCCCCCCCCCCCCACACACACACACACACCCCAAATAAAAAGCACAGTGTAGGGTGAGCATGTGCATGTAAATGTCAATTGTGCCACACATATGAGGTATCACCATGAACGAGAAAGCAATATTTCTGGGGCCACAATTCATGGTTAATACTAAACTGTTGACCTGTAAAAGCTTTTACATTTTGGGCACCAAAGTTTTTAGCAAATTTTATCAAAGTATCTGCAAGTAATGTTATACATTATGACACCCCATATACAGAGCACTTTGGCAAATGTGTTTGTGCTAGCTTCCTGGGATGGAGTATGAATCCAGTGGTGAAGAAATTTTTCAGAAACTAACCATCACTGACAAATATTGTGAGCATAGTATGGAAAATTTAGGCACAATTTAACATATGTATTGCCATCTAAACTATAACTAAAGGCAGAACTTTTTTTTTTCTTTTTTTTTTTTTTAGTTGAGAGCGATTAGGACCAGGGTGGATAAAAATCGATAATTTAAAAAAAAAAAAATCAGATTTTTTTTATCTATATCAAATTTATGCTTTTGGAGTAAAAATCTATCTAAAGATAGTTTTCTGTTTAAGATAAATTAATAATTTAGTTTATTCAGCATGAAATGGAGCTTAGTTATGTAGCATGAGGCTGTATATTTGGCAATGTTTAAATTTTTGGTAAACTCATTCAATGAATCCAAGCTCTGCAAGCTGCGATAACATGCACTGCATTGATGCATTCACACAAGTTCACAGTAACCATGAGAAAAAAACATGAAATAAAAGAATTTCGTAGTTCTCCAGCTATATGTGATTAACCTAAAATTGGTAATGATATCGCTGTTTTACTAACCTGACAGCTTATTATATTAAAGATTCTAACTACCAGCAAGAATGAGTCAGATTCCTTACATTTAAAGAGCACCTGTCATTTTAGGTCCATCAGGGCAGCGCCTGTTAGCGGGCATCCACTCACCTGCTGCCACCCCATGTCCCTCACCTTGTTGTGTCACTGCCACATCACCATTAAAATGATTGGGACTGTCAAGTGAATCAACAGCGGGTCAGAGGAGGAGCCACTGCAGGACAGAGATGACAGCTGCTCTTCAAAAATTACATGATTTAAATCAAGCCTTTTCACTAGTGACTTAAATCATGATTTAAATCAAATCCACCCTGACCTCACATACAAAACAATATTAATAAGGTAGTACGAGTTCAGAGACAGGTAACAAAAATGGTCAAAGGTCTGGGAGATAAAAGACATCAGAGACTTCAAGAACTTAAAGTGTTACTAAACCCAGAAAAGTAAAATCAGTATGTAGATGCATTAAATCATGCTTGTTATACTCACTGTGGAACCTAAGGGGTTAATCCTCTGCATTGTGTAAAAAGGCTGTTTGAGTCTCTTCTCTGTTCCTCCCCTTTTTCAAGCAACCACCACTTATCTCCAGACTGAACCGTAGCATGCACATGCTCAGTTTGGTGTATATTCCTAGAGAGGTTTTTTTTTTCTTGGGAGAGTGCATGTGATCAGCACAGGGCCAATCAGCACTGTCCAGACAGAGGTCAGGGGATTTCCATCCTCCTAGAGAAGAAAGAAAACTCCTCCTACAATCTTTAACCAGTGCTATGCTGAAGTCACAAGACTGCTCTAACTGCTGATGAGAAAAGGTATTTATCAGTTTATATTTACTAAAATAATTGCACTTCCATGTTCTGTGTACAGTGGGAGACCAGATATATTGGATGCTGGGAACTGAGTTTAGTAACAATAGACTACCAGCTTTAATATGTACAGTCTGGGGGTCTTTTCTGTGCTCAAGAAGGGAAAGGGGAGACATGATTGAAACCTTTAAATACATATCGGTAATGAGTAAGGTTCAGGAGGGCATATTTTCAATATGAACTCTTCTTATTCTTTGGAGACAGCAAGGGGGTACGCCTGG